TGACCCCGCGGATCTGCGTGAGGGGTGGCACCGAATTTCAGAAATGTGGCAAATCCCATGTGTTTTTGGACCCTGACCCCGCGGATCTGCGTGAGGGGTGGCACCGAATTTCAGAAATGTGGCAAATCCCCTGTGTTTTTGGACCCTGACCCCGCGGATCTGCGTGAGGGGTGGCACCGAATTTCAGAAATGTGGCAAATCCCCTGTGTTTTTGGACCCTGACCCCGCGGATCTGCGTGAGGGGTGGCACCGAATTTCAGAAATGTGGCAAATCCCCTGTGTTTTTGGACCCTGACCCCGCGGATCTGCGTGAGGGGTGTCGATTTCGAGCCCCCCCAGCAATTCAGACAACGCGCCCAGGAGACGCTAAAAATCTTGTTTGGGCCTCCCCCCCCCTCGCGCGGTCAATCAACTAGTTACAGTAACCAGCAAGAAGTCAACTAGTTACAGTAACCAGCAAGAAGCAGAACTGTAACACTGGAAACTACAACCTACGACTGGTACAGGAAACTGCGAATCACGGTCCTACAGCCTGGTGGCCCCACAAGGGGGCCGGCGGATTTATTTGTGTGTCCTGGGGCCCCTTCAGTGTCCTGATGCTTGCGTAGCGCTGTTGGGCATCTTGGCGCGGCCGATCCGATCCGATCTCGACTCAGTGCCGACGCGGCCGAATCCGATGCACGGTCCGACCCGATTCGACTCGCCGATCCGATGCCGTCTGATCTTGGGACAGCCCAGCGGAGGGAGGGAGCGCGGCGTGTCCGAAGCGGGGATCTGATGATCACCGCCGGTCGAGGTCGAGCTTCGGGGGCTCGGCGGGCGGCAGATATGGAAATGTCCAGGGGACCCAAATCCTCCTCCTCCTCCTCCTCCTCCTCCTCCACCCTCCTCCTCCACCCTCCTCCTCCTCCTCCTCCTCCTCCTCCTCCTCCTCCTCCACCCTCCTCCTCCTCCTCCTCCTCCGGCCCTGTGTGGCAAGCACAGAACTCGGCCATCGTGATCTTCTCACGTCGCTGATTCCGAGGCCTGGGCCCCTTCTGGGACTGGCGGTTCGTCCCAGGGCCTTTTTTGGACGGTCCGGGGGCCCGAAAAGTACTCGAGCGAATCCGTCCTGGTTTTTGTGTGACAGCGACCGGAGGTGCGGGACGGTGTGCCCACGTCCGCCGCCCGCCGAAGAGCACCCGGAGCTCGATCCCCCAGGCGGCGGTCATGGATGAGTCGGCGGCGCGCGCAAGGGGGCGGCGCGAGGAGGGGTAGCCATTCTGAGGCGACAGTTCTCTTATCCGTGGTTTTGCCGATCGGCGCGGGCCCTCGACCCCCCCGCCCTCCCCCCCCCCCTGCAGTGGATGTTGGTTGTTTTGCTCGGGTTGACCCAAAAGGGACTCCAGCGACAAGGGGGTGGTGCAATAGATTTGGTGCCATAGATTTGTGGGGTTGCAATACATTTGGGGCGTGCAATTCATTCCGGGGCGCAAATGTATTGCTGGATTGTCGCGTGCAATACATTAGTTGCAATACAATGCAATACAATTCTCCAGCGCAATACGTTTGCAATACAATTGTCCCAAATCTATTGCACCACTCCCTTGCAGCTGGACCCCCTTTTGGGTCGCTCAGATTTGTGGCGCCTCTCTCGAGCGGGTGGGGTCTCCCCCAGAGGGCGCACGGTTCCAAACAGCCGCACTAAGCAAAGGTCGGGAGCCAGACCCCCCCCTCCCCCCCCTCCCGCCTCCCCCCCCTTTCCGCCCAATGTCGAAACGCCGAATAAGAGAACCTTCACGAGAAGGAAAGGGGGATTCGTAGAGAGCAGTGGACTGCTCAGACGCGCCCAGGGGCTTCTAAGAAGCCTTCCTGGAGAAGCTTGCTGGGCGCTCTTGAGAAGGCCCCTGCCTTCTAAGAAGCCACCCTGCCTTCTTAGAAGGCTACCCCTCTCGCGCCACCCCCCTCCCCTGAGAGCCGACGTTGCAGAAAAGATGCGACATCGCGAGAAATCACGATCGGAGCCCTGGACCCCCTCTTTCTGCGCCACCTCTCGAGCCCGATCGATCTGCTAGGGCCCCAGGGCCCGAAACTGGGCAGACTCGCCCCGCTCGAGACAGGCGAGACGCCAGGGTCTGAGAGTGCCCGAAGGAGGTGCCAGAGGAGGACGGGGCGGAGGAGGACGAGGCAGGACGACAGGGACGCGGCAGCAAGAAGGGGTGCCGCAGGACGCCGGGTCGAGGGGGGCGACGGACCGTCAAGAAGAGGAAGAGGCGGCGGAGGAGGATGGGGAGGCGGAGGCTCCTTCGACAAGGCCTTCAACCCAGACCCCCTCGAGTAATGAAAAAATCACGACGGGAGGTTTTTCGCCATTTTCGGCCTCTGGGGGCCCTCACCGGGCCTCGGGCGCGTCAAAAAACGACTCAGGATGACAAACCGGTCCTGGGGAAGGGGTCGGGACCTCTGGGGGTCGACGTAATGAAAAAATCATTACGTCGGGGGTCTGGGAAGGGCGAGTTCTGGGGGCGTACGCACCGCTCGTGGGCCCAGCACAGGGCTTTGGCATCGCTCGGGCGCGAGCACGTGTTCCCGGCGAGGGCCATCGAGGAGCACCTGGGGGTCATCCTGCGAGCGAGAGAACGGCACCAAACCGAAGCAGATGCACGGGGAAGGGACGTCCGAGCAAGGGCAAGGGCCTTGGCCTGAGAGCTCTCTGATGGTCGGCCACGCGAAGAGGGGGGTTAGGGGGAGGGGGGATGACGTCTTAGATGCACCCCTGCCTCTTTGTAGGCCTCCGAGATGGGGTCGGAGTAGATGGGATCGGAGGATCGCGCCGCATCGCCGATGCATCGGCAATGCGGCCCGATGTGGAGCCCGACTTGCTCCACGTCGACGTTGCCGATGCATCGCCCACGTCGACGATACATCGCCGATGCATCGCCGATGCATCGCTGATGCATCGTCGATGCATCGCCGATGTATCGGCGATGTGGCGCGATCCTTCGACCCCATCTAGTCGGACCCCATCTAGGAGGCCTCTACTCTTGGAAGGCAAGGGCCTTGTCTGGAGATGTACGGCCCGCGCCTTCCAATAAGCAGCCTCCTTCTAAGAAGCCCTCCCCGCTCCCCCATAACACTCAACCCGCGTAGAAAGGTTGAGCGACCTTCCATGGTTACCCTTGCATCCTTCCCCTTCGGCCCACCCTTGGCCGATTTCGCTGGCCGCTCCCCCCGCTCGCAAAGTGTCGATATGGCCTTCCAGGCCCCTGCATTATTGTCGCGCATCCTTGCCACACGGGTCGACCGCAGTCCTCCTGGGGTGGTGCCGCGCCGCGCACTGAATGGCGCCATATTGCGATGCCGCCACCGCACCCGGGCGCCTCGAGTGGGACACGTCCAACGGACAACAGGCCGGTATTCGGCGGGGAGCCCAGGGTGGACATGAGACGGAGGAGGCCTTCTCAGAAGGCTCGGAAGCGGCCCAAACAGGCCGGTATTCGGCGGGGAGCCCAGGGTGGACATGAGACGGAGGAGGCCTTCTCAGAAGGCTCGGAAGCGGCCCACCCGCCCTCCGAGAGGTGTCCTGAGCCCCGCCCGACGACGGAGGCCTCTTCGCGGGAGGCCCATGGTGCCTGTGAGGAGTCCCGCCGCCTTCCGAGAAGGCCCTCTCCTCCTCGCTCCCTTCGTTAAAGGCTTAACGACTTCTGCCGTCCTTCGACTCGCGCTGGAGCGGCCGCGAAGTGCTCGAACTTTCCCTGGAGATCTCTGGATTTACCTGGATTTACCCATATGTATTTAGATTTACCTGGATTTACCTCGATTTATCTGCATTTACCTGGGTTTATCTGGCTCGATTCTCACAAGTCGATTGGCGAAAAGTCGACAAGCCCTAAGGGATCCCTCTCCCCCCGCTCGCCGCCGAGCTGCCTCCCTCTGCGCGCCGCCGGAGGGCTGTGGGCGACGACGACGACGACGACGACGACGACGACGACGACGACGACGACGACGACGACGACGACGACGTCGACGACGTCGACGTCGACGACGACGTCGACGTCGACGTCGACGTCGACGTCGACGTCGAGGTCGGGCGGCTCCGCGGGCGGGCGCGCGGTCCCGCCGCCCCGAGGGCCGGCCGCGGGCCGAGGGCGGCCCCTGCCCCGCCCTGCGGGGCGGGAGCGGGGGGGGGGGGCAGCCCCGGCCCTCCGCCCCGCGGGGAGGAGAGCGAGCAAGAGGAGGAGGAGGAGGGAGGAGGAGGAGGAGGAGGAGGAGGAGAGGAGGAGGAGGAGGAGGAGGAGGAGGAGGAGGAGGAGGGAGGAGGGAGGAGAGGAGGAGGAGGAGGAGGAGGAGGAGGAGGAGGAGGAGGAGGAGGAGGAGGAGGAGGAGGAGGAGGAGGAGGAGGAGGAGGAGGAGGAGGAGGAGGAGGAGGAGGAGGAGGAGGAGGAGGAGGAGGAGGAGGGAGGAGGGAGGAGGAGGAGGAGGAGGAGGAGGAGGAGGAGGAGGAGGAGGAGGAGGAGGAGGAGGAGGAGGAGGAGGAGGAGGAGGAGGAGAGGAGGAGAGGAGGAGGAGAGGAGGAGGCGGAGGAGGAGGAGGAGGAGGCGGAGGAGCCGGAGGAGGCGGAGGAGAAGGAGGAGAAGGAGGAGGAGGCGGAGGAGAACCGGCCGGCTGCGGTCATCGGGGGCGGAAAAGAGGGGGGTGATGACTAGGGGGGGGGCGGGATCTCATGGCGGGGGCCGTGGTATTTCCCCAGATTTCATGGCGCCTCTTCTTCTTTCGTTGCCTCCCTGGCCCCCCGCTGGGCCGCGCACATGCCGCCGGTCATGATTTGCACCCCCCCCTCTCGGCCGCTCCCGAGCTCAGGTCGGGCACGTCTTCCTACAGGCGGACCTCGGAGGAAAACTGAGCAGCAGAGCCCCAACCGATTCGACAGTCATCGAGAAGCCGTCCCCAGGCAAGTTTTTCATTGTCAGTGGGCATCCCTCCGGTAGAGGGACACACGCCCGACCTCACGGCAGGCGCGCATGGCCGTGGCGGCGGTGCTCGTGGCGGGGGCCCTGCCGGCCGCGGCCGCGGCGGCGCTGCAGCTGGCCAGCGAGGCCCCGGCGCGGCGGGCGGCCGCCTGGGCGGCTGGTCGTCTGCTCGCCGCTCGTCCGTCTTTCGGGCCTCCTGGATCGCGGCATCGCTCGGACGTGTGCATTTTTCCTTCGGCGAGGACCGTCGAGGAGCATCCTTGATCATTTGGCGAAAGAGCCACGCACGAAACCGAAAAAAACACAGGGAATGGACGTCCGAGCGATGGCGAGAGATGGGGTCGGAGGAAACGGGGTCGGAGGATCGCGCCGCATCGCCGATGCATCGGCAATGCGGCCCGATGTGGAGCCCGACTTGCTCCACGTCGGCGTCACCAATGCATCGCCGACGTCGACGATGCATCGCCGGTGCATCGCCGATGCATTGTCGATGCATCGTCGAAGCGGCGCGATCCTCCGACCCTACTCCGACCCCATCTAGGAGGTCTCTAGTCATGAGGTCCCTGTGTCGCATTGCTTTGCGAGCCGGGCGGTGTTCCGAGGCAGGACCAGCCAGCTTCGGTTTTCCCAGGCAGGACCAGCCAGCTTCGGTCTACACCAACATCACCTCCCTCCCCCCCCCTCCCCCCCCCCAGGAAAGAGGAGAGGGAGAGGAGGGTAGAGGAGGGAGGAGGAAGCGACGTGGTGGTTTGCATTCTCGGGGCCCGCAGAGTGGACTTGAGTGCAGGCCCACTGGGGTTCCCTGGTCGCCGAGCGCGGGCGGCAGCAGCGGCGTCCTGCGTGTTTGTGCTCGGGCCCCGCGGCCCCGGAATTCGGAGGGCACCAACTATACACCAACACCGATCCTGGCCAGGATCGGTGTTGGTGTATAGTTGGTGCCTTCCTAGGAATGCCGCGCACCTGAGACATTCTTCGTCCAAAATCCGGCTGTAGGAGGATCGGGGGTGGACAGGACCCCCACCAGTGACACGTCGATCCGTGAATTGTCAGTTTTCGGCTCTCGAGAGGGCGCCGCGGCCGTTCTTTTCCAGGCTTGCGCCCGCCAGGTTTGGGCCTCAGGTCGTTTTCACTAAACCACGTTTTTCTAAAGGGGGGTCTGCCCATCCCCGAGAGGACATGCCCGACCTGCGTGTAGGCGCCGCTCGTCCTGAGGTCCCGGCGTCGCATCTCTGTGAGCGAGCTGGGTCGTGCTTCGAGGCAGGGCCAGAGCCAGCTGCGAACCGAGTCGTCCCTGCCCGCCAGGGGTGGACGAGCCAAAGAGGCGATGGCGACGTCGGGGATGCGATCTCCGGAACGGAGGGGATCCTCGAGATCGGCATCGAGAGGAGGCGATGCCATTCATAGGGGCAGGGGTCTGTTCCTATTATTTGATCGCTTTGCTCATTCCGCCGGCCCATACAGTCTCATGTCTGCCGTTTGCCCGAGGGCCTGGTGTCAATGCGGCGCTTTGGGGGTTCCTGGGGCCGCTTGGGGGACTCCTGGGGCGCTCGGGGGGGCATTTGGGGGGCCTCCTGGGGCCGCTTGGGGGACTCTTGGGGGCCTCCTGAGGGCCTCGTGGGGGCCTCTTGGGGCCTCTTAGGGGCCTCTTGGGGCCTCGTAGGGGCTTCTTAGGGCCGAGGGCTCGAAATGTTGTTTCGTGTTCCCTCTCTGGGGCCCCTTTGGGGGCGTTCTTGGGGCCCTCTTGGACCGTCTTGGAGGCTTCTTGGGCCGTCTTCGAGCCCTCTTGGGCCATCTTGGGGCCCTCTTGGGGGCCTCTTGGGCCCTCTTGGGGCGATCTTGGGGGCCTCTTGGGCCGTCTTGGGGCGTCGGGAAGCCGAAAAGGTGGAAGCTCCAAAATCTCTCAAAAACCTAAGGAAAAACAATGAATTTTGCCTCCGGGGGCCCTCTTGGGAGTGCTCTTGGAGGCCTCTTGGGGCGTCTGGGGGCTATCTTGGGCGTCTTGGAGCGATCTTGTGGCATGTCGGACCCCTCGTGTACCATCTTGGGGGCCTCTTGGGGGCCTCTTGGCCTTTCTTGGGGCTCTCGGGGACGTCTCGGAGCCCTGTTGGTGCGCTCCTGGAGCGCTCTGGGGGAGTCTCCCGGGGATCGCCCGGGGGTCGGTCGGGGTACTTTTCGTCCGGGGACCCCCAGGGGCCGCCCCGCGCGCGCGAACTAGAGACTTGTTAACCAGTTGCCAGAGATCTTAGCACGCCTCTGGCCCGTTGGGCCGGCGAATTTATATATATATATATATATATAGAGAGAGAGAGAGAGAGAGAGAGAGAGAGAGAGAGAGACAGAGACACAATAGAGTGAGAGAAAGCGAGAGAGAGGGAGAGAGAGAGAGAGAAACAACAACAAGAGAGAGAGAGAGAGGGAGAAAGAGATACAGAGAGATAGAGAGAGACCGAAGTAAAGAAATTTTCTTCGGCAGCGGTGGCGCCCCTTGCCGGGCCACGTGGGACCTGCACGGGTCGATCCGGCTCGAGGGATGGCGCAGAGAGGCGGGGTCCGGGGCCCGGGCCGTGACGGCTCGCGATGCCGTGCTGTTTGCGCCACCGTTGGATCTCAGGGATTGGATCGGGCCGGACGAAAGGGGGGGATTGGGAAAGGGGGGGTTACGAAATCTGCTGCATGCAGCTGATTTCGGCCTCACCGAGGGGCCCAGTCCTCGATACATAGCTGCCTCTGGCGCTGGGAGGCGCCGGGAGAATCAGCTACGCGAGCTGATTCTCAAGCCCCCCCTTTGCTATCCCCCCCTTTCGCCCGACCCGAGTTGATGATCGTTTGCCGGGAGTCCGAAAACCGTGTGGTGACGGAACGAGCGGTGACCCCGAAATCTCACGAGACCTCCCCGCGCGGTCCGTCACCGCACGGTCTTGGGACCTTGGGCCCATCTAGCTCATCTGTTCGACTCTGGTTCGGCGCAAGTGCGTCTCTAGATCGACCTTACAGTCAACACGGATAGTAAGGATGAGCGGTGTTCCAAGGTTATTGCATCTTCCCCTTTCGGCCCATCCTTTGCCGCTTTCGCTGGCCGCGCCGCGCTTGAAAATTGTAGACATGGTCTTCCAAGGCCCTCGCATCCTTATCACGCATCATTGCTATACGCGGCGACTGTAGCTCGACTGGTGTTCGACAAATTCTCTACTCAAGTTTCCCTTAGGGCTTGTCGACTTTTCGCCAATCGACTTGTGAGAATCGAGCCAGATAAACCCAGGTAAATGCAGATAAATCGAGGTAAATCCAAGTAAATCTAAATAAATCTGGGTAAATCCAGGTAAATCCAGAGATCTCCAGGGAAAGTTCGAGCACTTCGCGGCCGCTCCAGCGCGAGTCGAAGGACGGCAGAAGTCGTTAAGCCTTTAACGAAAGTTGGACTCAAGTTCGACTCAAGGCGGCGAACGTTCGACGCAGAATTGGCGCTGAAGCTAGTGGCTCCAGGAAGGTACCCAAGAACGAGCACCGGACCCTTCTCCCCGGCCTGGAGCTGCTGCAGCCTCGCCCTCCTCTGGGGGAGGGAGGGTCGATCGAGGATCGAGGCTCTGAGCGCTTCTGGCCGCTTCTGGGCCTACTCGTCGCCGCGGCTGGAGGAGGGAGGGTTGCTCGAGGACCGAGGCTTTGAACGCTGCTGGCCGCTTCTGGGCCTGCTCGTCGCCGCGGCTGGATCCGTCTCGGAATTCTGGTCCAAGCGCATTCCAGTCGGGGGAGCGTAAGACCCGGGTTTGCCAGGACTCGGGTTCGCCATCGTTTTTTGACGACCGCGACTCGGATTTTGACGAGGAGGAGTTTCGTGGGATGTCTGCAGCGGGAGGCCTCGTCAAAATGCAGGCTCGGCCTCGTCATTTTGTTTGACGACCTCGTCGGGGATTTCCGAGTCCCCCGTACCCGGGTCTTACGTCTCCCCGATCCAGGATGGGCCCAGGAGTCAATGGTTGACCCCGGACGCAGACCTTGTCTCGTCACGAGGTAGTGGCAACGGAAGATTGTGGTACGAATTCGGCCTCTGGCGCCATCCCAGGAGAAGGAGTCCAGACCCCTGGCCCTTGGGGGTCTCGCTGCGACAATACTGCAACGTCGCAGTTACGTTTCTTGCCGTGAGGGGAGCGTCACCCGAGGCTTTTTGGCGTGTCAGGCCTCCCGGGTCTTGAAACAGCAACAGTCGGGAGGGGAAGAACCACACAGACATAATTCATCGTCGATCCCCAGGAAGATATGGGAAAATCTGGGAAGTGGTGGGGAAGACAAAAACTCAGAAAACATGGGAACATATGGGGAATATGTTTGTTTGTGTGTATTTTGTTGTGTGTGTCTGTGGGCCTCTTCAAACAGCATAAACAAAGACCGTCGGAACTCCTCGGGGACTGATGGGATCGGCGCAGGGCCCCCTTGAAGGCGGCGCCTCTGGCGCGCCGCCCCTTCGGCGCTCCGCGCGCCAGGCAGGGGGGTCCAGCGCTTGGCGTCGCTCGGACGTGTGCGTTTTGCCCTCGGCGAGGACCATCGAGGAGCATCCTTGATCATTTGGCGAAAAAACCACGCACGAAACCGAAAAAAACACATGGAATGGACGTCCGAGCGATCCGCGCGGGCCCCCAACAGTCTATGTTTATGCCGTTGCTTCCATTGAGGAAGGGAGGGAGGGAAGGCGGAACTCGACAGAAGCAGCGCGTCAATACCGATCTGACGCGCAACCAGGTCACAGGAGGCCCCCTGTACAAGCCAAAAGGGGGGTCCGGCGTCGATCCGAGAAGTCCGCGCGGATCTCCAAGAAGTCATGCTTATTCAAGCACTGTTCCTCCGAGCTGACTCACGGGGCCCCGCTGCCAAAGGCCCAGGCCTCCCACTAGGTGGCCACATGCGAACCCTCCCCCTCACGAAATCGCTGGGGGGTAGGGGTAGGGTTCGCAAGAGGCCCCCTATCCCACAGATGTGGGGCTCGCCCAGATGGGGTCGGGGGATCGCGCCGAATCGCCGATGCATCGGAGGTGCGGCTCGTTGGGCAGCCCGCCGGCGTGTAGCCGACGTCGACGATCCATTGGCGATGCAGCGTGATCCTCTGACCCCAATTCTGAGCGACGTAATTAGTA